TTGATTCTATGCCTCTGTTTATACAACCCAGGATTGTAGGCTTGTACAGGATTGTATAAACTTTTTTGGCTGCTGCTGCACACTGCTCACTCATGGTCAAGTGATTGTCCACTAGGACTCCAAGGTCCCTCTCACAGTTACTGTTTTTAAGCCAGGTCTCGACCAATCTGTACTTGTATCTTTGTTTTTTCCTGCCTAAATGTAAAACTTTGCTTTTCTCCACATTGAAACTCATTTTGTTGGATAGGGCTTGATTTTGCTTGTCAGAAGCAGGCTGGGAAGATTGCAACTGGTGATCACATGATCTCACTACAATCAATGCAAATTCTGGACTTTTATTTGGATACTTGAGCTGCAGGTTGACATTATGCTAGTTACCATGACCTTAGGGATACTGCAGTGATCATAAAAGCTAGAACAGGCCATAAGTCACTTTTTTTAAAGTGCCATTGTAACTTCAAACAGTTGCTGAATCAATGGTTGTAAGTCAAGGACTACCTGTATTACTTTTAAAGTTTACATGGCTTGAGAGAATGCTCTATGTCTATGAGTCCTCCTTGGTTGAGATTATTTGAGATTAACCCCTTTGCAATGCTTCACAGGAACCTAGCTTGACTCTTCTCCATAGTCCCATTCATTATTTGGGAATAAATCTCTGGTAAGTTGAGGTTCCCGATAGGCCTTTTTGACTGTTGTTTTAAATGTTTTTAATATCCTGAGCTCTAATTTTGATGTTTTGTTGCAGACTTCTGAGAGACCTCAGTAAATGATGATATTTTAGGCTGAATAAAATAAATGAAGGAATAACATCATATTAACTTTGGAGGCATTATAAGCTCTGAGGGTTTCTTTATTTGTGACAACCATCCCATCTTGTCATAGAGCTAGTTTGGTCTCGTGGTTCAAGCACCAGTCCAGAAATGGGAAAACTGTGAATTTCATGCCTTGGGCATAAAAGCCATCTGGGTGACTTTGGGCCAATTACTCTCTTTTAGCCTAACCCACCTTGCAGGCTTGTTGTTGTGGGGAAAATAGGAGGAGGAAGGAGTATTAAACCTCCACTTGCTTTTTACTAAGAGCACATACTTCCCCTTCTAGCTCTGTTTTTACTGTTCCTCTCCCAAATGAATTGACCCCTCCCAGTTTATTATTTATCTGCCAGGAACTATTGATAGTTTCTTCTGAGTGGATTTATAGTTATTCCTTAAGAGTTGCAGGTTGGTCAGTAAGAATAGCAAGTAACAAAGGGGGTCTCATGAACCATTGGAAATAATCCAGTCTGCATTATTTATCTCTTTTTTTGTTATTAGTGCAAATTATAGACAGTGGGGAAGGCAGGACCACAGAAGAGGAGGCATAAAAGCTTAGCGCCCCTTAGCCAATTTTATGTCCTAAAGTAGAAGTGAATTGCATTTATGTGACTCAATATAGTGTAGGATGGGTCCCTTTTTCAGGGCAAACTTTATCAAGTTATAATATATATGTGTGTTCATATATTTGTGTTTGAGAAAGAGAATTAATGGAGAATAAATGGATGAAGAGATAGTTTTGATCTACTTTTGACTCTTTCCCTGAATGTTGCATGCAGCCGCCCAATTTATTTTTCCTGGAATATGAAATCTTCAGGTAATTTTTTCCCTCTTTGACACACTAGTGCCTTGTTTCTCAACCTCAGCAACTTTAAGATGTTGCTGGTTGAGGAATTCTGTAGTTGAAGTCCACACATCTTATAGTTACTGAGGTTGAGAAACACCACACTAGTGTGCCAAAATTGCTGCAGTGAAGAAAATCCATTATATGAAATGCTCTCTGTCCACCTTTCTTCTTTCAGTCAACCGAGCTCGCAGACAACAAAAGAAGTTGATGAGTCATAACGGGAGGCAAGTACTTATGAATACAGAGTGCAAGAAAGTAGTGGGAATTGTGCACCAAATTTGGAGAACAATGTATAAGAGAAACTTGTGGCCTCTACAAGATAGGCCTGGCAAAGGCGTAACAGGAGGGAATAGATAAGATAAATGAAGGAATAACTTTATATTAACTTTAGAGGCAAAGAGTGAGCATCTGGTGGTGAAATTCCAGATGTTTTGTAGACTTGAAATCCTAAAGCATAAATGCTTAAGCTGTGCAGTATCTGGCTCCTGAAAATTTGGCATGCAGAAAAAAATCAAAAGTGTTTAGCAGATTAGAATTTTTAGCATGGCAGAAGAAGGAAATGATTAAATACGTGCCTAGATAAGCTGTATGTCAATTAAATTAAATTAAGGCCCTCAATTTAAATTAGATTAAATTCAGTCCTTGGCATGTTCATCTCCTCTTTCTTGGAAAGTCATGCTACAAGCACAGTACTCAGGGTCAAGTCTGATCTTCAACCCAGAATAAGAGATGGGTCTTTGCCCCAGATCAATCTTTCCCAAATCTGGTGCCCTCCAATTTTCTGAGGGAACAGTTGCTAGAAATAGTTCTTCTTTGATTACATGTCTAGCCCATTTACTAAAATTAGTCTATGTTTATTGGAGATTCCTTAATTTTATAAATCTCATTAATACTGTAAGATACTTTTAGGTTCTGAATTAAATGGTTTTAATGAGTCTGGGGAGAGGAGAGAGATTTCTAGGTTGATACTATGCATTTCTCAACTCCATGGTGCATATAGGGACCCAATAAGGATCCCAGATATTTTCCCTGACCCTAACCCTCCCCTAATGGCCCAAGTGATAATTGTTATCAGATATAGTATTCTAGTGGACTATTTGAAGCTTATGAGTGATAACCACAATTGTCCTCCCCAAAAGGCTCACACTGTGGAGCATTTGATGTCCAAAAGAGAACATTACCGTCACCTCTGTGCACCGACAAAGCAACTTGTGTTCAACTCAGATCTTGATGTCATTCATATTTTATGTGTCTCTCATTTCCAGAAGATATTTTTATGCCAAACGGAACAAAAGATCTATCTCCAATAGGATTATGGTATGCCCAGGAAATGATGATGGTGAGTTAATTAGGACCTTTCTCCATTCATAAAATTCTTCCTCATGAATATGCTAATGCACATTTTCCCACTACTTGAATTGGCATAAAGATATGCTGTGAAAGTTGCTTTAGGAATGTGGCAAAACACTGATGTTGTCCTTACAGATTTAATGCAGGACAAATTAAGGAAAGTAATTGGCAGATCTTCTGGCTCCAGCCAAGCATTATCTACACTAGGAAAATAATCTCCCTAACATGGGCTTGGGTTGGAGTTGAAGAGAAGGGAAGATTTGACGTGTAGCAAATGTGCTCTAGTTTCACACAAGTATGTTGTGTGGCACACAAAACGCTTTGGGGCATAAGTTTAGCATTATTCTGAATTAGTGTTGTTGTAGAAGGTTGTTTATTGTGAAAGAAGTTTTCCTATTCCGGAACAATGCTAAACTCATAAGAAACTTGAAACACCCAATTATGGGGAAAGGTTGCAAGATGAAGTAGGAAAGAGCTCTCTATTGCACCAAACAATGTCTCTCTTAAACATGCCCGCTCTATTTATTGGTGATAAAAAAATGACATTTTGAGAAGAACTCTTTAGATACCACCAAAGGTAGGTTCAGAAGGAAATTGTGCTGAACGGAGCAGGATGAAATGCCAGACCCACCCATCATCTTTGTATTCTTGTATGTGTGTGTTTGTGAGCACATGCATGTATGCACACAATATGTTTTTCCAAACATTGATGTAGTTTTCTTGATGTCATATTGAAAATTTGAAACTGAGGCAACCTTGCGGTCAAGCTGCCCAGGTCTTTGATGTTGAAGCTGGGGGTAGTCTTAACCGCAGACTCCTGAGTGCACAGCTGCTTTCACTGCTTCCTTTTCCTTGAAGGAAGGAAAGCAGGGAGAAGTAGCTTTTAAGCAGGCCCTCTACGGCAGGAAGTGAGTCCTGGTTGCTGGGAGAATTGTTCTGTTCCACCTAGTTCCCCTGTTACCTAAGAGAATGGCCCCTTTCCTGCCACTTCTCAAATCCCATGAAGCTGTCACTCCATGCAGTCAGAGAACTGACAGCAGCAACTTGTGGGTTTTCAACTGCCAAGTACTAACCCCAAAGAGGTGCCCCCTCCACCTTGCCTCTTTCCTCCCTCTTTGCTTCATGTGCAGACACAACCCCTGTTCTTCATGCTGAGTTAGAATAGAGAGAGACTGGAAGTGCAGCCAGCAATTCTTTAATCTAGTATACATTTCTGCCATCATATGTCATGCAGACATATAGACTAGACTAGACTAGACTAGACTAGACTAGACTAGACTAGACTAGAATAGAATAGAATAGAATAGAATAGAATAGCTTTATTTGGCTAAGTGTGGAATTTGTCTCCAGTACAGAAGCTCCCAGTGTACATGGAAAGTAACAGAATAATAATCATAATCATAATATGACAGCATTTGACTGCTGCTGCTGGGTTTGGAAGCGACATAATGAATGAGGCAGCCTTGCAGCAGCAGTGTTTATTCTTCAGGAGATGATGACATAGAATAATAGGGTTGGAAGGGACCTTGGACATAAATGGCTGCCCAATCTCTTCTTAAAAATCTCCAATGAGGGAGCACCCACAACTTCTGGAGGCAAGCCATTCCATTGATTAATTGTTCCCACTGTCCGGAAAATTCTCCTTGCTTCTCTCTTTAATGATCTTCCACTCATTACTTCTTGTCTTGTCCTCAAGTGCTTTGGGTAATAGGTTGACCTCCTTTTCTTTGTGAGGGTAATGTAATAAGGGTAATGCCTTTGTATAATTTCTGGAATATTCTCATAGACAAAAACAGAAATTTTTAATATAGAATTAATATAGTGTGAAGCAAATGCCAAGTCTTGTAGCATCTTGAAAGACTACAATTTTCTTAATGGCACAAGAAGGTGCACGCTCAATTGATTATGCATCTTGTATCTTTATTTGGCTTTAAGATATCCTCCTTCAGAAGAGATAATTTGATGCCATGTGCTTCTTGTCTCTTAAGTCACAGAGCAAGTTGATGCTTATGAAAATGTGCGGCCAGATGTGGGTGTACAACGTGGTCAAAGGTTACTGCAGAAAGGAAAAATCTTGCCCAATACCCTCAAGATGGAAGGTAAGTACAGATAGGCAGGGCATAGGGCAGTGGTGGCGAACCTATGGCACGGGTGCCAGAGGCGGCACTCAGAGCCCTCTCTTTGGGCACGCACGCCATGCCCCGGAGATGGCAACCGTCCCTCTTCAACCAGCCACCCGCTAACTCGCTGAGGTCCCACATGGCTGGATGCATCCCAGCACCCATGCACTCACTGGCCTCTGTGTGCGGGGGCCGATGGTGTCAGGCAGCAGCTGCCCCCGCCCCTGCCTCGCCTTGCCCTGTGACAATGGCACCCCCGCCCTGCCTCACCTTGCCTTACCCCGCAGGACGAGCCTCCTGCCCACCGCCCCACCTGCCAGAGACCCCCTGGATCTCCTCCAACCCTGCCCGGCCCCCACAGACGTCCCTCCCCATGAGCAACATCGAGGTAATCACGCCCACCTTGGCCACACCCACCCAATCTGCCATTACCACCACAGCCACACCCACCCACCAGGTGCCAGGTGCCATGCCTACCTGGCACCTGGCGATAAATAAGTGGGTTTTGGGTTGCAGTTTGGGCACTCGGACTCTAAAAGGTTCGCCATCACTGGCATAGGGTTAGGTACTGTGTGTGCAATTTGTAATAGGGGAAGTGCCAATAATAAAAATGGTGTAAAGAGCAAAGACTGATTATGACTGGAGTAATGGTACAGTAATAGCAAATAATATTATATGATCAGGTAAGGTACCATTCTAAACATCACACTTACACTCTCTCTTTTTTTATGATCCTGTAATCCCTTGATTTGGGATGGGGTCAGGGTGACTGGGTGGAGCTGAGCATTTACTGGCCAGTTGCCCTTCCTTACACCTACGTGGAGTTTGCAGCAGATATTTTCTCTTTGCACCCTGAGAGACATCAGTCTTTATCTACATCCTTTGAATTGCTTTTAAAAATTTGACTTTGATGAGGGTGAAGGTTCATTCTCCGAGCTTGTGGGTTGGTTTCTGAACGTTTCGTTACCAGGCTAAGTAACATCTTCAGTGAAGTTTAGGCAGGGTGGGATTCAAATCCCTGAACAACCAGTTCTCTGCGTGGACACCACTTCTGGAAGTCCATTCTGGGACTTCCAGAAGTGGCGCCCATGCACTTCCGGTGGGCTGTTCTGGGGCTGGGAGGCCTCCGCGGCTCAGAACGGATTTCCAGAAGTGGCATGCATGCACTTCCGGCAGTCTGTTCTGGGCCTTGCAAAAAAGGGCTAGGGCTTCAGCCAGTTTGCTGAAGTCAACCAAAAATTAGCTACCAGTTCGACCGAACCGGTGTGAACCAGCTGAATCCCACCACTGATTTTAGGGGATATCAGTGTTCTTCTGTTTATATGGGGTTCAGGTGTGGGTATGTGAAGTGAGGGTCTGTGATGGATCTTGTGATGGGTCAGGTGTGAGTCATCAGTGAGTCTTGTGATGGGTCTTGGGGAAGTTACATCAGGTCAGGGTCACTTGGGAGGTGAACTGCTGATGGGAGAGGAGGGGCTTGCATGGGTCGGTTGAGGGTCAGTGCTGCCTCTGGTTGGCTGTGTGGTTGATTTGGATTCCGAGGGGTTTGTAGGCTGGTTGTAGGTCAATATGTCTGTTGATGGAATTGCTTGTGAAGTGCCAGGCTTCGATGAACTCACGAGCATGGCAGCTGGTAGCATGGCCAATGTTTTTTGTGTCACTCCAATCGAACTGATGCTGTTTGGTGTCAGTGTGGGTAGAGATTAAAGATTTGGGATCGTGGCGTTTGACTGCCAGCCGGTGTTCGTGGATCCTGGTTTTTAATTGACGTGATGTTTGTCCCACGTAGAACTGATTGCATCCTACACCCGAGCTACAGATGCTCGCCACTGTTGCAAATTGGCTTTGAGTTGCTAGTGGTTTAATTTTGGTTTAATTTCTGAGGGTGTGAAGCCAATGATGCAAAGCACAGGAGAGGAATCTCCAGCTCAAGAGTTCTGAAAAAGTAAATTCTTTCAGAGGTGAGGTTAACAAGGATACAGTTTTTAACAGCCCAATCCATCAAGATGGCTTCATCACTCTTACTGCATGAACAAGGGTCTGTAATGAACACGTCTGTAATTTATGATGTTTAGACATGTTCTAAATGTTCCTACAATACCTTTTCCTGTTATTGTAAAGCAACATTGCAGTCATAGTCACCTGTGACTAGTAAGGCTTTCTTAAATGAAGGCAGGATGCAAAAAGAAAAAAAATCAGCACAGGAAATGGGTAAAGCTGTTTAAAGACTGAAGAGGCCCTCCGCCTTTCAACATGGGGCACCTGCCTTTGCCATTCATAACAACATACAACAAGACTTGGTCGACTCTGATAACCTCAGAAATGTTGGTGTGAATTTCTCAGAGAATGTTTGACACTGTATTCCTCAGAATCATAGGGTTCTTCAAGAACTTGATGGAGTTCTATGAGAGACTAATGGCAAAAAAGAAAAAAAAAATACCAGACCACATTATGCTCATGATGACCCATAAAAAAAATTAAGCTGGCCATTTTGTGGATCCTCCTCCTCCTCCTCCTCCTCCTCCTCCTCCTCCTCCTTCTCTGTCTCCTTCTCCTCTTCCAAGTTCTGCATCTTCACAAGGTTAAAAAAAACCCTTATAATCACTAACAACAATAGTAAATCTGGTAGTTGCACGGAATAACTTCATGCATTGTGCCACCAGTAGTGTTAATAGCATGCTTTGTGCAACAAACTGGTTCAGCTAGGCAACGTTTTGATACAAGCAACACAGATGAGGGTAGAGGAAGGAAATAAGTTTAACTCTTCCTCTTTTTGCATGATTAGACAAAGAGTTATTTCATTGTGAGTGATTTACAGTAACTTCTACAGTTGACTAATCAATGTGCCAAACTAACAAGGAAAAGAGACTTTATATTTGTTTCATTTTAAAATACAACTTTTCACGAGCTTCCATGCCTGCTTGCTACCAGATAAGCTATTTTTTAATCATATAGAACAGTGTTTCTCAACCTTGGCAACTTTAAGATGGCTGGACTTCAACTCCCAGAATTGAATGCCAGCTGGGGAACTCTAGGAGTTGAAATCCACACATTTTAAAGTTGCCGAGGTTAAGAAACACTCATAGGGAATGGTTCTTTAATGTGAAAGAGCATTTAACATTTAAAGTAAGTTTTTCTTACTTTAGTTCAAAGTGGTGTAAACCAAGAAGCAAAAAAGCTTGTAAAAATCAGATGCGATCACATGATGACTTGCTTAACAACTGCACACTTAACAATAAACTTTCCAGTCCCTATTGTGGTCATAAGTCAAGGACTACCTGTAGTACCATGCAGTCCATTCTTAATGTAGGAGGCCAGTGCCTTAAAAAGAGCATTCTCAACCAATCATGAGCCACTATATTATTTAGTGAATCAATTAGTGTGACTCCTTCCCATGAAGGGAACCAAATACCATCACAACTACACAAATAATAAAAGTATTTGTGATTGACAGATGTTTCGGACAGCTCTCCCACTTGTGGCTTTGCTCCCTGCTATGTGCAAGCGTGATGGGCGTCCCCCTGCAAGTTGCTTGAGACTATCGAGGGGGACGTGACTTGAGTTCTGAGAAGCCATGCCTTATGTCAGTCAGAGAAAGCTAGTCCAAGAATTGTGCATAACTGTTTCTTCCTTTTCTTCCCACCAGATGAAGAAGAATATGAATGCCCTGATAGTGAAACCGAGTTGAAGTCAGATGGTAAAATGGGTCAGGTTGGGGGTGGGGGGTGGGGCAGCATGAGATGGGAAAGGAAATTATAGGTCAATAATTGGCTCTCAAGCCCTAGACACAGGGTGACCACCACATGTACAGTCAACTGAGAGCTTAATCTCTTAACTGAAAAAATTACTCTCTTGAGATATATAGGGTTGGATGTGGCGAAGGTTGGAATCATCTGCTACGGTCATCATAATATGTTTTTTCTTTGGGGCAATGCCAAATAAGTCAATGAATAAACCATGATTTGCTTTATATTAGGAAATGCCATGAGATCTTACCCTGTTGTGAACTTATCGATATTAGTTATGGTTGGCATCAATTTACCTAGGAGGGCACTCCAGTGGCACAGTGTTCTGAGAAACTGAACTCAACATCTCATTGTTAAAATATAATATATGCAGCTATAGGTAAAACAAAAAAAAAAACCACCTAAAAACAAAAGGAAACCACAGCTCCTGACCAAGCTTTAAATTGGGCAACTAGCAGCATCATAGTAGAATGTGGAAGAGGAAAATACTACCGGTAATGAAAGAGAAGAAAAAGTGGGCGGGGCAAAATGGCAGCCGCTTCTGGGTCGCTACCATGGGACCCGGTGACAAATTGCTCCATTTTGCTACCTTAACAAAGTCTGCACGGTGCTGTGAAGAACTATTGAACGCTACAGAAAAGTTCTGAAAGCTGCAGAAAGCTTCTGCAGCCCTTGCAAACTGCATTAAGGCAGCAAAATGGAGCCGTCTGCTCCATGGCTGCCATCTTGTCCCCCTGCCCCAACATGAGGTCCAGGGATTGTCAAAAGGTCAGTGTGGGATGGGTATGGGTATGTGGTGGAAGAAGCCCAAGCACTGTGGGGTCCAGGCAGGGCAGGATGAGGGGAGTGATAGCCACATCTGGCCCTAGGTTCTGCCTCAGTTTATCTTCCCAATAAACAACTGAGTCGGAAGATCATTTAAAAGCAGTTTATTAGGGTACCCTAATAAAGTGGGATCTCCCTATGAAAAGGGAGAACCTCACAATCCATCTTACATTCCTTTTTATAGTTAACACAACAAAGAAAAATAAAAGACGAAAGTTGGTTGGACAATGTTATGTCCTGGGCCAGCAGGCACAGGCTGCAGCGATTGGCCCGGGCAGACCATGTGGATGCCCGGGACAAGAAAGGCTGCTCCCAGCCTTTGCAATGATTGGCCAGCAAGGTATTGTGCAGGGGGGCTATAAAAGGGGGCCGCACCATTTTAAAATCTGTTCTGTTGGTGTTGCAATAAAGGAGAACTGTTGGAACTCGTTGCTTCGTCTCAATGCCTCTTTTCCTGAAACAGAACATTGGCGACGAGAATGGGATACCTGCAAGGCAAACAGATTAAGAAGCCAAGCTGACTCACCACAGGGGGGCTTGCAGCTTGGAGAAGTGTGGCTCCTGGAGATTGACCCAGCCTGCCAGCACTTGTGAGAAAGGAAGAAGTTTAAAAATAAAACGGTCACAATTGATTAACAATAGAAGGATTAGCCAAGCCGTGCAGGTAGGCACTAGATTCCAGGAGGCTTGGCTAGAAGACACACTTAACAAGACAAAAGGATGGCAGAGAGAAGTTCTGAACAATGTAACTGAGGGGGAGGGATGATGTATTCTGGCTAGGCGGATCGGACAGATTGTGCCACCGGAAGTCCTCTCAAATGGGACCAAGGGGAAGGGATGGGGGCGTCGCGATAGGAGTGTATATAATGATGTGAGTTTGAATATTTTGGTGTGGTCTCTGGGTTTAGAACTTCCTGTTGAAGTCTCTCACCAGGATCCACCGCGCTTTGCAAACCGCTTTTCTATTTTCTGCAGAATAAACTCTTTTTCTTACCAATCCAATTTTGTTGGTATTTTAATCACGTTTCCAATACACTGAGACGCTGGAGGTGAGCGCAGAAAAGGGGGCCCCTTCTCAATCTTTGCAGCAGGAGGCGTGGACGAAGTTCCTGGGCTGAAACGATGGCAAAGATAGGCCGGCTTGCAGAATTTGACACAGCTCACTCAGAACGCTGGAGCTCGTATGTGGCCCGGGTAGAGGACTACCTCCGGGTGAATCAAATTCGTGAAGATGACCTCAAAGCTGCCACGCTGCTGTGTGTGTGTGGGCAAGAGACCTTTGAGATTGCGGAGAATCTGGTCACCCCAGCACCACTGGTATCAATCACCTACACAGACTTGAAGAGGATGCTTCGAGAGCATTTTGAACCCAAGCTCTCAGTGATTGCCTGGCGACACACGTTCGAGCAGAGGGACCAGAGGCCTGGTGAGTCTGCAGCAGAGTTTGTTGCGGCCTTGCGACAAGCAGCTAGGCCCTGCAAATTCAAAGACTTGGAGGAGAGACTGAGGGACCGGCTGGTCTGTGGCCTGCGAAGCCGGGAGTTGCAGCAGAAGCTCTTCGCGAAGGAAGGCCTCACGTTCCAAGATGCCCTGAGGGAAGTTTCAGCCGAAGAAGCAGCAGGCGGAGCTGTGAAGGCCTTGCAGCTCTCCAAGCCCCCTCAAGTTCCAGCCACTGTCCATCAAGAGGTTGCTCACGAAGAATCCGAACAGGATCCAGAATTGGAAGTGGACCGGCTGCATCAGACTCCAGGGAGAAGGCCTCACAGAGGGAAGGCCCAGCCAGCATCATCCCCTCAGTGCATCGGGTGTGGAGGCTGCCATCGCCGCGCGGACTGCCGTTTTCGGTCCGCCATCTGCAGGGCCTGTGGGAGGCAAGGCCACATTGCCTTCATCTGTTTGTGTCGCCAGAAGGAACGTTACCCAGAAGAATTGCCTCAGAAAGGTACCAGGGTCCCCAGCCAGAACAGGGTGGGCTTCTGCGCATCACGTAGGAGCGTTTTTAGAACGGGGGTCCACAGGCCACTTAGGAAGAAGCTTCACATCGATGTGAAGTTGCAAGGGGTCCCCTTGTCGATGGAGCTGGACACTGGGTCTGCTCTATCGATCATCACCCTAGACACCTTTAACAAGGTCTGCAGCAGAAGCGGCCTACGGGTAAAACTCAGGCCGTCAAACCTCATCCTCACAGATTTCCAAAATTCCAGAGTCAACGTGAGGGGGGAGGCCACACTCAAGGTGCAGCGTAGGAATTTTGAGGGGCTACTGGATGTAGTTGTGGTTGGGGGAGACCATACGAGTCTCATTGGACTCGACTGGTTTGAGGCCCTGGGAATTCAGGTGACTGGAATACACAGCGTGCAAACAACAGGCCTGGCTGGGGTCTGCAAGGAGTTTGCAGATGTGTTTAGTCCAGAACTTGGCTCCTACAAAGGCCCTCCTATTTCTCTGAGGCTAGACCCAGCCATAGTCCCCATTACAATCAAGCCACGCAGGGTGCCCTTTGCCTTAAAGGGTAAAATAGATGCAGAGCTGGATAAACTGATTCAGCAGGGTATCTTAGAGCCTGTGGACAGTAGTCCATGGGAAACGCCCATAGTTACGCCACTGAAGGCCAATGGTGAAGTTCGAATCTGTGCGGACTACAAGTGCACGCTTAACAAAGCGCTGCAGCAGCATTCGTTCCCAGTACCAGTGGTCAGTCACATTCTAGCCTCCCTCAAGGGGGCCCAGATCTTTGCTAAGCTTGACCTGGCTCAGGCCTATCAACAATTGCCAGTTGATGAGGAAACGGCCGAGGCCCAAACTATAGTGACTCACAGGGGGGCATTCAAGGTAAAAAGATTGCAATTTGGAGTAAACGTGGCCCCTGGCATCTTCCAGAGTGTAATGGAGCGAACGCTCCAAAATATCCCTGGCATTTGCCCGTACTTTGACGATGTCCTCATCGCTGGGGACTCAGCTGACAATTTAGCCGAAAGGCTGAGAGCCGTTTTGCTACGTTTCCGCCAAGCGGGGCTGAAGCTTAAGCAAGACAAGTGCAAGATCGGGGTTACCTCCACGGAGTTTCTAGGATTCCGCATTGATGCTCAGGGCATCCACCCTGCTGAATCCAAGCTNATGCAACGTAAGCAATGTAATGGAGTGTTGGAGTATTTAAAATAATAAGTGTGCCTTATTATTTTAGCCAAGGGGGGAGGGGTGTTATGTCCTGGGCCAGCAGGCACAGGCTGCAGCGATTGGCCCGGGCAGACCATGTGGATGCCCGGGACAAGAAAGGCTGCTCCCAGCCTTTGCAATGATTGGCCAGCAAGGTATTGTGCAGGGGGGCTATAAAAGGGGGCCACACGATTTTAAAATCTGTTCTGTTGGTGTTGCAATAAAGGAGAACTGTTGGAACTCATTGCTTCATCTCAGTGCCTCTTTTCCTGAAACAGAACAGACAAGAGTTACCCCTTCTTGCACAGTAAATCAACTACAAAGCTTGCTTGATAACCAAATGCCAGTTGACACTAAGAAACTTTTTCTTATCAGGAGATAATCTCCAGGACATCCTTCTGTAAATTATCTTTTCAGTTTAGGAATGTTAAAAGTTATCTAATCAGTCCTTACAACCCTAGGATAAAAGTTTTCCTACATTCTAGTCTGTACTGAACTTGAATATCATTTTAAAAGAGAAAATAAGTCAAATTAAAATACAAAGTATCTATGTTAGTTAACAAATTATAAAAATTCATGTCATGTGCCCCTCAGGAGAAAGGCAGCAGGTTTGCAGTGTCCCTCTGGTCAGTCCTAAGGGCGAATGACCACAGGGTGCTGCAATGCCCATAACTCTGAAATGGGGTCATAATGTAGTTTTGGGGGGATTTATCATCAGTTCAAACTGCAGTTAGGTGACCAGTCATATCTCAAGGACTTCTTGTAACCTTTTTCATCTTGTTTGGTTCTGCTTCAGATGAGGAAAACTATGAAAATGCTCAAGAAGAAGAAAAACCAGGAGATGTAACTTTGAATGGTAAACTAATTTCTCTTAGAAGTTTTGCTTTCTTAATGTAAGCACATAAGATTGTTTCATGGATTTGGTGAAGTGAGCTGATGAACTTCTCAGGGGCAAGTTTAAAAAAAGTCAGGATGCTGGTCATGACCGTGGGGTCCAGATGCCCTTCTTGATTTGCTTGACCATCCTGTACAGATCCCCCCTGGACCCACTTTCTTCGGCAGCTCTTTGAATGAGTAAGGTTGCCTGGGGAGGAGCAAAACCCTATTCAATTTGTGGGCAGAGAACTACAATTTTTAAGGATAGCTTAAAAACAAATACTGAAGGAGAATATTAAACATTCAGTTGTGGTGTGTATGAGAGGGGGAATTCTGAATCTTGTACAGATAGTCCTCAATGTATAACCATTCATTTAATGACCATTCAAAATGGCACTGAAAAAAAATGACTTACAACTGATCCTTACTCGTATGACTATTGTAGCATCCCCACAGTCATAAGATTTAAATTTGAGTGCTTGGGAACCAACATATATTTATGATGGTTGCAGTGACTCTAGGTCATGTGATCATCATGTGTGACCTTCCCAACTGGCTTCAAAGTCAATTGGAGGAAACAAAATCAATGGGGCAAGCCAGAGTCACGCAACAATTCCATGATTTGCTTAACAATTGCAGTGATTCACTTAACAATTTGGGGCCAAAAATGTAAAATTGGATACTATCCACTTAACATTCATCTTGATTATCAACCAAAATTCTGGTCCCAATTATAGTCATAGGTCAAGGACCTGTATAAAAAACTCTCTCAGATGTTTATCCACAACATGAGAGTGGAAAGGTGCAGGTAGAGACAAAATACATAAACACCAGCCTTTTAATCTCTAATTCCTTCTATATGCCTTCAGCCCATTTATCTGAAATATGACGCTCCTCGTCTGAATAGAACAAGCTGGACAGGAGAGCAAGGAGCTTACCCTGTACTTGAAGCAAAGCTGAGATACAGAGGTGGATTCAGACCCACAGATTGGAAAACCTTGATCTGGAAGAATGGATTAATAATGGATTCCTATTAAGGGGGTGACACCTTGGGAAGAAAAGTTTATTAACTTCACAGATTAATTGGCTTGGCTTCTGCTCCAATGGAAATGCCACCTCATTTTGCCTCCAGGAATCCCACTCTTTTTCCAGCTGTTCCCCTACCTGTCATCCCGAATGAGTATAGGAGCAGATTTGCTAAAGTGGGTTGGGTCTTTTTCCTTTCCCTTACTGGTAAAAGAAAGAGCAAGAATGGAGAAGACACCAATTCCCTCTTGGTTTTAAAATCCTCCCCCCCCCCCTTCCCTAGTTGGTTGGAGAAGTACTAGCCAATGCAAGAAAGGGAAGGTTGAAAAAGCTTCTGGGTGCTAGACACCAGTGTAAAAATGGAAAACAGAGCAAAGCCGGCAGCCATGTGGAAGTGGCCAAAGAAGCTATGATGGAAAAAACAGTGCTTCAAAATTAAAATTCTCCTTTAAGTTGGAATAGTTGAATTGAGGTACAAGCAGTGTTTCTTTATTAAAGCTGAGGACTTATACTCTGAACTCTCTACTCTGAACTGGACTAATGACCAGCCAACATCTTGACTTAAGAAGCCCACTTGCACTCATCCAAACCTAGATACACTGTGTGTTCTGCATGCCTTGTGGCCAGATCTCACTATCACTACTATTGGCGCTTTCCATATGAATGTACCCCAAGCTTAGCAACTTCCAGTTCTATGGACTTCAACTCACGGAATTCCCAAAATGGGCCATTCACACAATGGATCAGTGAATGAATCAACCTAGAGTTCTCACTTGAGGCACAAATATCTAGACTCAAATTAGAAACAATAAGCAAGGTGCTAGCTCTCTAAAGATGTATAATGCTGGGAAAGGTGGAACAAAAGAGAAAAGGATGACCAACAATAGTGTGGAAGATCTGAAAGAACAGGTTGGAGACAGATTTGTCCTAGAGAAAATCTATCTACGTGGTCAATAAGATCTGACACCAACTTGATGGCATATAATAATCAAACAATTTTAGAGATAGTGTTTTACAGTCGTTCTTTTCTACTCCATTGCCAGTACCATCCACCTATCTTTCAATATGAGAAAAGCACCAGGATGAAATTTCCTTTCCTTATCAACCCTATCCTGTCCCTAGGGCCTCTCTTTCAAATCACTAAGAGAGTAATTGGCTTGATTCCCCTCCAAGGAAATGGGTAACAAAATGTAATAGAACTTACATGCCTTGAGGATACCCTTACTGTAGATGGTGTTAGAATAATGGGGAAAATAATATTTTAACATCAGTCAGCAAAAGATCCTTATGCACGACTCATTCATGGACTGTGGATAAGATGAAGGCCTCATCACAAGGACACAACAGAAAACACATGTTGCCAGAGCAAGTTTGTGCCTTGATGAGGTACAAGTGGAGATCTCAGTCCTTCAAACCATTGCTACAAGAGTGGTCCACAGCTCCTCAAGATCTCAGAAAGAGGACCCACCCTTCTTCCCCAGATATGTTTCATAAACAGTATGCAAAGCAATAACAACCATCCTTTACTTCCTCTATTTTTTAAATGACAGCTGTTCTTTCTTCTATCATAGATGTGCTCATTTATGAAAATAAGAAGGACAAGGTGAAGTTTGATCTTCGCAATGGGAACTTAGGTATTGAGAAGTATATGAGGGTCTTGACAGAAGGGGGAATGCAGGTGTCATGATAAGATCCTGGTAGAATATTCTTAATTATTGCTTTCTTATGTCCCATAGATGACTCATGGTATTCCAACAAAACTGAACAGATCCTTGAGAATTTGACTCAAGACCAAGACCCCATTGTTGAAGGTAGTGTCTGGATTTGATATGAAAGTTGAAAGCACAAGCATAACATTGATATAGATCAGGTTTTCTGAAACTTGTCAATTTTAAGATGTGGAGAATTCAGTTCCCCAAATTCTCAAGTCAGCACGCTGAAGGGGAAATTCTGGGAGCTGAAGTCCATAAATCTTAATGTTGCCAAGGTTGACCAATACTAATATACAGGAAAGCCAACTGGAATTCTGAAACTGGTGTTCTTCATGTGTTGAAACGTATCTTCACACATACCCAGGCGTTTTAGCTACAGGTAATGTGAAGTGTACTGTACCGCAACACCATGTTAGTTGGGAACAGCTAGCAGTACATCAAAAGTGGTTTTCATTTTTGAAAAGGCAACTGGACTGATTTTTTTTGAGGAAAAAGAGGACACACAAACTTTCCATTCTCCCACCACCACCACCCTGTCAGAACCTATCATTCCCCCTCCCACCAACTAATCTCAACTGTCAATAACTGTCCTTCCATCTCTCACAGCATCAAATACAATTGATGAAGCTTCCAGGATAGGAAGTCCTGTTGTCTTTTCAAAAATAAAAACCACTTTTGATACAACTATGACCTAGATGACTGAGAATCTTCATAGACAGCTAGACGTACAGTGCTGTAATAATCCAAGTGGACATTGTCATACTGTGGATATAGTTTTTTTCCCCCAGTCCAGAATGCTTATTCTTGTTCTTTATTCTAATATAGACTATTTTCAAACAAAGATGTCTGCAGAATTTTGAAATTAACAAACATATTGACTATATTGATTGCAAAATTGTAAAGATACTTCAGCACTGGTACTGCTTGCAAATCCTCATTCTCAGGAACGTTCATATCATGCCATTGGGACTGCTGCAGATTTTGAAGCATCACATTACTGCAGGAACATTATTTTCCTTCTTTGCCCTTCTTACGGCTTTAGTTATTTCTTTTATTATTATCAAATTTTTATGCCACCCATCTCATTATCAAGCGACCCTGAATGGCTTATGAGAACTTTAAGGGTATTTCTCACAATAAAAACCGACTGCATAAGATGCTGACAAAGTTATTTAATCATGGGGCTGCTGGTGATAATCTACTGTATTTACTCAACAGACAACGAAAACTATATAAATTTGGAAGAAGAATGTCCTATGAGTTCTGGTACAGCATGACTCATTGCAGGTACTAAATAGACACTGAAAAAAAATCCAAGTCCAGAATGAGTTATCTCCAAATGCAGGACCTGTCTCCATCTTCTCAGCAAAAGCCAATCTGTTTCTAGAAGGCCTATTTATTAATATTATTACAGCAGTGATGGGATTCAAATATGTGAACAACCGGTTCTCTGTGTGGATGCCATTTCCAGAAGTCCATTCTGGGCCTGGGCAACAAAAAATTAGCTACCTGTTCTGCTGAACTGGTATGAACTGGCTGAATCCTACCACTGTATTACAGATAGTCTTCAACTTACAACCACAATGGGACCAAAATTTCCATTGCTAAGCGAGGCACTTGCTCAATGAGTCACACCCAATTGATGACCATTTTTGCAGTTAAGCAGATCACTACAGTAAATCACATAAGCAAAGCCAACTTCCCTCATTGACTTTGCTGGTCAGAAGCTGGCTGGGAAAGGCTCAGATAGCCATCCCATGACCCCAGCACTCTGGAACTGTTATAAATACATGTTGCTTGCCTAGTGCCTGAATTTGAGCTTCAGCCTCTGTGTGCGGGTCAAGGTTGGCTGTTTGCAGCATTTCTCCCTGGCCAGCTGGTTGGGGTGTCTCAACTAGGCTGGTTGGTTGAACCCCTTCATCTAAATCGGTGGGACACTCTGCCATGGCTGGGATAGGTTCAGTATACTTCCTAGCTATTTAGAAGCCAATTGGATGAACTTCTATTTTTGACCACTAGGGGTTGCTACTTGCAGATCAGCTTCAGAGGTGCTGTCTGTGGGTGGAGGTGCCACTGGGTGCGTTCTCCTGTGCTTGTGGGTACTTCAGCGTAATTCACCTGTTCACCACTAGGGGTCACTTTCTGCGTATCAGCTACCGGGGTGCTCTTCCTTCGAGGTACACCCTTTGTCCACTAGAGGGCTTTCTCTGGGCGTGATTAAAGGCTTGCGTGTAGCTCCTCCTTTAACCACTAGGGGGCGTCTGAAGAAAGGCCAGCCAAATTCTTCCTATTACCATGTTCCTGCTAGTGGCCACTGAGAGAATGTAGAGGTACAAAAACTCCCACCTGGTCGTTAAGTTGCAGGCTGGAACCCCTTGGTCATCAGCTTGTGGTAATAAGCAAGGATTATTGGCTTTGCTTCCTTCTCCTTAATCCCTCAAACTGGAACAACTTGGTCTTCAGCTTGAGTGAGTGAATACATTATTGAAGTTCACTCTGTGCCCTTTAGGGTGTGTTGGTAGCTTGGGATAAATTTAAGTAGCTTGCACTTAACTAACAGATTCACTCTGTGTGATTAATGATGTGTGCAGTGAAGTGTCCTCTTTCCCTCTATAGGGTACTCTGAGCTTGGCTTGGTATAAGCTTGCTATGTGCTGAATTAATTATGAAGTTCCCACATTTAATTGTAAGAAGATTGCTGAAGGAAAAGCAAATTGGCCACCAGGAGACGCTGCTGCATTGCTATTGGAAGTTGAAATTCCAAACATTCCTAAGGGAGGAGGGAGTTTGGCCTCTTTTCACCAGCGCTGTGTTTGAGAGAGCAGCTTAATTGCTTAATTGCTTTCCTTAGCGACCTGTTGCTAGCTTGCGGACAATGAAGGCTGTTTTGGTTGAGAGATTATTGTCTTTATTGCCTGGAAGGGGCCGCTCTCTGCTACCTTCTTGGCTAGCAAACTCATGAAGAAGAAGCAGATGTCTTGTTACTTTGTTACTCTTTAGGCATAAAGACTCTAAACACTTAAGTTTCAAATCATTGATTTGCATGAGACAGGCTGAGAGAGTGACGCTCCCTTTTGAAAAGCAGTGAAGATTTAGTTGCCTGGCTTTGGCTGCATTCCGATGTAGAATATAACAAGGTGAGAGGTATCACCCTTTCCAAGCCTCTCAATCTCCAGCAAAGAAAGGAAGGGGGAATAAAAAGCCCAAAGCTCCTTTTGGTGTTAGCAATTCAGACTTTACATGAAAGAAATCCTTACAATAAGAGTGCAGTGATGACTTGGAGAGTTAGCAGCGAATTAACAAAACAATGCAACTGAATCACACCTTCTTTGAAACGTCCTAAACAGACACACTGACTTCACTGTTGCAGGCGATGAAATCAGTCACATCAAGTTACTTTCACATGCAAGAGAATCTTTGCTTTTTACTTCTTTAAATTTGCAGATCAGAGGAAAATTAATTCCATCAAATTTACTATTGCAGGAGATCCGAGGAGAATTAATCCATCAATTTACTATTCTGTCCTAGACAGGAGATTTTGCCTTATTCCAATCTGGAACAGATAGATAACTCAGAGGAACAAACAGAAAATATTGCTTTATTCTGGGAATCCTAAACAATGACTTACAGTTTGTAGAGGTGCGTCCAAAATAGGTTTCTGCAATTTGATTGTCCCACAGGTAAGTTGATATTAGATTTTCCCCTCTTCTCCTTCTTAAATGTCACATGTTGGGATGATTATGGGATCTCCAGCCGTGTGGCTGGATGCCATGAACAAGATGAACAAAAGAACTCCCATGTGGCTAGTGTCCAGGAAGTCTCCCAATGCCCTTTAGAAACTCCTCCCACTGACCTAAAGACAAACCCAGCCTTTAACCCAATAACTGCCAGGGTCCAGAACAATGTCGAATTGTTGATAACATCAGTAAATAAGTTTACTGTTGTTACTATAATACAATAAATACAATTACAATAAAATAAAATAGAATAATTAAAAAGTGTTAGATACAAAGAACTCAAAACAAGGTAGGTCAGATTTATTACTTAAAAAAATTCTTTTTGAGTTTAAATGACAGCAAAGCAACAGTAGCAAGATAACTGCTAAGAGTGAGAAGCATTCTGCAAGAATATAATTTAATATTCAAAGTCTGAGCCCTTGAATTTATTTGAAAGTAAAAGGTAAAGGTTTCTCTGTCAGTCATGCCCGACTTTAGGGTATGGTGCTCATCTCTGTTTTGTGGCTGAGGGAACCAGCGTTATCTGAGGACATTTTCTGTGGTCATGTGGCCAAAGGCACACAGGATGCTATTACCTACCTACCAAAGTGGTACTTATTAATCTACTCGCATTTGCATGCTTCCAAACTGTTAGGTGGGCAGGAGCTGGGGCAAGTAATGGGAACTCACCCCATTGTGTGGTGCTCAGGTCTCAAATCCGGTCTGTCAGCTTTGCAGCTGACAAGCTCAGCATCTTTAACCGCTAAGCCACCGTGTCCCCTCTTTCATCTACCCTCTTCATCTACCATCAACCATTTGGCCCTAATCCCATTGCGAATGGGTCACTGGTGAACATAATAAATGATGTGGATCAAGGGACTGAGATTCTATTCAACAGGCTGCTTACAAAACTTCCCATCAAGCTATGATGAAGACATGGCTGCGGGGCTGGTAATATTTACCAGATACATAATATCAGGAGTAATTAACATAGCCCTAACATTGAGAAATTCCTGCTTTGTTCATCAGGGTCTCAATCCTACGAAGAGATGAATGGATCCTTATGCCCCACTGCAAGCAAGCTGTTTCACCTGCATACCAACCCAAGCAATGAAGAGGGTGAGTATCCTGGATTCTCTAGGAAGGATGTTGGTTGCAGGAACTTAGAAGAACTTAGAAGAAGAAACTTTAAGGTCTACTTTGCCAAGAAAACTGCAGGGACTAGTCTAGGCAGTCACCAGGAGTCAAGACTGACTTGAAGGCACCAAAAAGATCACTAGATGATTTTAAGCCAATCATTCACTCTCAACCTAACCTATCTCATAAAGTTGTTGTTCTGGAGAGGAAGTGTTGTGCATGCCATCTTGAACCCCTGAATAAGAG